TACCTCGGTATACGTCTGCTTTAGAATACGTCCAATTCGGAATACGTCCTGTTTGGATGAAACAAATTTTGCTCAGTATACAACATAATTCAATTATACACGCCATCTATGCACAAGTAGCACTATCGATGTATTAGACCAGACTAGACGTTTGCAGTGCGACGGTTTATAACTTTGTTAAATTTCTTCTGATTTTAATTTGTAAGTAAAATTTTATTATTTTTATTAATGATGAATTGCAAAAAGGCAAATGAAAAGCAACAGAAAACTAAAAAAATGACTAGAATCACAATGGAACTGAAAAAAGAGATTGTTGAGAAATATGAAGGTGGCATGCGTATTCGAGATTTAACTGTTGCCTACTGTATTCCGAGAACGACAATATCGACAGTCGTGAAAAATAAAGACATTATTAAATCTGCTAACGTTGTGAAAGGGGTTAAATCAATTTCTAAACAGATATCGAAGACATTAGATCATGTTGAGAAATTACTTTTGCTTTGGATAACTGAAAAACAGTGCTGGAGACAGCATATCAGAAGCAATTATTTGCGAAAAAGCTAAAAAGATACATGCTGATCTCACGAAAAATCAAGCAGGAACTAGCCAGGAAAGCAAGGTGTTTAAAGCCAGCCATTTTTTTTACATGAGAACAGATTAATCATTTTTACATTACTTCTTATGGGAAAGATTGGTTTGGTATACGTCCAATTTGGTATAAGTCCAAACATCAGGAACGGATTAAGGTCGTATACCGAGGTTCCACTGTATTTCCTTTCATTTTTTTTTTTCTTGTTATAAATGAGTAGCAGAAGCATTTAATTGCCAGAATTTCCTGTGGATAACTTGCAGGTTGTGTGTTTCAAAAGCTTTTGGAAGCAGGTACAGGTAGTGTAATGATGCAGGATATCTGTTGATTTTAAATTGCAATTACAAGCTCATTATACAGCTTTTTCTTTGTCCTAAACATACCAAGAGCATTTTTAAAAATGTAAAAAATCTTTTCTATGCCACAGATTTATTCATCTACCATTGTAATTTTTTCAAAACTGCCTATAGTTTCTTTAGTTCTCACCCGTTTATTTTCTGTATGTCAATTTATGCTTTGATATTAGAGAGGTTGCGGCCAAAGTTTAAATGTTACTTCTACATGGCAAGCAGAAATACACGGTTTACATTTTAACTGCAAGAAAAAATCATTGCGACACACATTCACAACATCACGTGACTCAGTGAACATTGCGCATTGATTCACAGGAAATTTGTTGAATAAATGGTGGATACATTTAACATCGAGGATTACCAGCAAAGGTAAATAAACAAATTAAACTATTAATATAATAAATATAAGTACAACTTTTTCACAAAAAAATTTTTGTTTCAGTCATTTCTTTTGTTGTTCGCACCATCAGCAGTTCATAAAAATCACAAATATTCACGAAGATGACCTTCCTTTTTAGGCTACTGCCTCCGTAGTTAAAATGCAAAAATGATAAAAGCATCATCTGGTGTTATTGCCACAATCACATAATACATTTTAAGTAAAAATAATAAGTTTAACATGGCCAACGATTATCTAATATTAATATAATAAATATAAGTACGACTTTTTCACAAATATATAAATTTTCTCACTATTTAATTAAAGTTTGAAACTTTGTTATACAAAGTATTATTATTAAAAAAAATTATATTAAGTACTACAAAATAATAAATAATCAAATATTTTCCAGCAAACTAAGTCTGAAATACTTTTGAAAATAAATTAAAAAAATAATTTTGAAAATTTTAATAGATATCACTCATTATTAATGCAGTTGCCAAAAACTTAATTTTATCAGTTATTTGTATACAGTAGAACCTCGATTATCCGACCCCCGATCAACCGACCACTCGGTTAACCGACCATCCTAGTCGGCAAATTTCAAATGTCCGCTAGTGATGTGGCGCTACAATATTTGGCTATGTCTTGGCTACTTTAATATTATTTTTACGTGTTTTAGCTGGCAACACTCATTCGACCATGAAAGGGAGCCGGTATTTAAACGAGGCTTAATTTTCTAATTTTTAACGATA